CATTGAATGTAATTTAATTTATGCATGTATGTATACATAAGCGGCACCAATAAGACTGCATCCTGATACATAGTATATAGCAGATATTTTTTCTACAATTTATAGCATATAACACTAGATAAGTATGACTGAGTTTTCCTGACACAATTCTATGTCGAAATGAAAGTAGTTTTATATCGAAAAACACGCCTGTAATAAAATAAAGGCTTCTCATACAGTTATGAATTTAATAATGTAAAATAAATACCACTTTCTTACTCTTCTCTCTCTCTCTCTCTCTCTCTATATATATATATATATATATATATATATATATATATATATATATATATATATATATATATATGGAAAATTAAACGCACCACACAATATATGTCATTTGTCATTAATTTGCTTAACAAGGCAAATATATAAAATTTTATATACCTTCCGCGCACACACACACACACACACGCACACACACACACACACATATATATATGTGTGTGTGTAACGAGAGGGAGAGGATGGGAGAGAGAGAGATAGGAAATTCCTTCTTTATGCAAGTGACGGTTCTTTATTGATTTTTAAAAATTTCCATTTCGAATATTCCAACACAATTAAATAACAAAAACTTTCATTAGATTTCAACGACTTATACGCAAACACACACACTTATATATATATATATATATATATATATATATATATATATATATATATATAAAGTTCAAGAAACTTTTAGTCAAGTGGGTTAAAAATGGGATATTGCCCACTGATATTTCCAATTTAATTAGACCCTCAGGTTCTATTCGTCTCCATATATATTGTCTACCCAAAACAAATAAATTTTGGGTTCCATTCGGACCTATTCTGCCCATATAAGATCTTCCCAACATGGCGTAGCTAAATAGCTTATGACTATATTATAGCTAGTTTTGAACCAGTATAACTCTTCCTGTATTAAAGATTCGCTTTGAATTTTCCGGCATTACGCAGTGTTATTCGTCGACGGATAAATTTATGTGTTATTATTATGTACCTGCGTCCCTTATGCTGAGACTATTGGCTGATGTCCTATATCGTTGTCAACTGTCCCTTTCTATTATTCTTGGGGATGTTTTTTGAACTGATGAAACTTGCTACGATGTCTGTTGAATTTAGTTTCGACGGCATCATGTATAGGGAAATCGATGGTGCTTCAGCGGGTTCCACTTTGGGACCAATCTTAGCAAACATCTTTGTTGGAGTCCATAAAGAGAGTGTGTTATTTAAATCTAATAAACCTGATGTTTACTTCCGTTACATTGATGACACGTTTTGTCCCTTTCATAAAAAGATTGAAGCGGAACATTTTCTTTCGTCCCTGAATGATACGCACCCAGCTTTAAATTTTAAACAAGAAAAATATATTGATTTTTTCTCTTCACTTTCTGCATGTTTTCCTTAGCAGATTTTCATCAGCTTTTCTTACATCTGTTTATCGTAAACCGACATTTACCGGCTTGTATACTCGTTGGGACTCTTTTTGCTTCGTGAAATGCAAAATTGATTTAATTAAAACCCTGATTCATAGGGCCTTAATGATCTGCTCTAAAACCAAGTTGGATGATGAACTCAAGTTTATTACCACTCTGTAACAATTTTTGTCTGTTACATCGGAATAAAGTGTCGCTGCCGACACTTGAGTTTGAACATAGATCGCCAGTGAGAAAACACAGGCGGTCCCATTATTGAATAATTGCATCACGTGACCATAGAAGAAACGCATGTATAAACAGTCGCCTGATGTTTAGATTGATCGTGTTTCTACTCATCCTCTATTACTATACAGACCGCTATTCTCTATTCTCTTATCTACACTATTCTCTATTTAGATCACTATTCGGATTACTTTTCGAGAGGGTATTATCGAGCAAGTACTATTAGAGTGAGATTATTTGAAGGCGTCTGACACCAGCATTGTTCAACGGCGTACTATAGTTGTAATTGCTATTACAAAGTTTCTACTACAACGAGAGTTACGAAAGTGACAACGTGTATTCGTTGAGATCACAAAAATGGCAACCTATCCTTTGGGCATCGTTCAATCAATAATTAAGAACAACATTTCTGATTTCAATAAAGTTAAACCGGCTAAGGTACAACGATATCCTGTGTACCTGCACTTTCTTTGGCTGGGTATTATCAGTGATAGATATGATAAGTGATTTTCTTTGGTGGTTCGAAATTGTTTCTTTGCTGCTAACACCCGTATAGTCTTTTCTGCCAAGCCTATCCTTCCATCTATGCGGAAAGACGTTCTCCTTTCTTAAAATAATAGGTCCTTGATTTGTTCATTTAAATGTAAGTGTGGCTACTTAGGGTGAACGATTCAAAGGCTGGATGTCAGAAGTAACACGTCCCAACAAAGATCCGCAATCTTCAGCATACTCCTTCAGACTTTCTGACCAATACATACGGGTCTTGCATAGAAGAATGCCTAATAAATAGCCGTATTTGTGCCGCTAATTTCATTGTGGACGCATTTACTATTCTTAGCAATCCCACTCGAATTTCCACTTGAAAGTGTTGGAGTCATTTATATCTTATCTTTGAAGCTTTCTCTATGTAAACAGAAGGTTTTCGTACTCCAATTAATTTCCATCTAAGCAATAATTTTTCCATCAATACATATTGTTCATCACTTTTATGTCATAATTCCTATATTTATTAACCTCGATTTAGCTCTGTTGAGCAAGGTTCGAAACCGGTTAGCCAGCTCGTTTTTTTCAGTTTTACCTTTTATCTATTATCATCATGAGTGGTAATAAATATAAATTTTGTCTTTCATGGCGGTCATAAAATTTTATACCACCAATCATATCTTATATCTATATATATATATATATATATATATATATATATATATATATATATATATATATATATATATATATATATATATATATATATAGTTTTGATATTGAGGCACTTTTAATAAAGGCAATTTTCAATTTAATCTAAAAGCAAAAAATGAGAATAATACCAAAAACAAGTAACCAAAACGGAATTAGAAATACCTATTTCTTTTCTTGTTTTCATTTTTTTGAATCATGTTATTTATTTGACTGAATCAATCGTATCGTTCCGAACGATCGATTGCCCAATCACATCAATATTTGACATAAAAATCACAGGAAAAATAAGATATTTGCAGAAGGAAAATAAAATTAAGATAATAGTAAAAATAAAAATAATAACAAAGGAAGATTTAAAAAAAATGCAATAACTCATACATTGGCATGACAATTTATTTCTATTTGATTGCAAACTTTCGTTATTCATGTTAATTTTATTCATGATGGCTTTCGTGGAATTCTATTTATTTTGGAAATGAAATTCCCTTTCAGTTTGAAATAAGCTTTTCTTTATAGCCTGCAAGCAATAATAGATATAACAAATTTGGTGGCCTCAACCGCGATATAATGATAATGTTCATTAAACGAGTTTATTTTGGACGGACGATTCTTTAATTGAGCATGACACATCAAAGCAATTGGGTGGGTAGATTCTTATATATCTTCGATTAGTCTCAGTCAAGCTGAAAGATAAAGTTGAAATTTTGGATACATATAATGATGGAAGGAGAATTGACGAATTTGACACTAACATGAGGTGTTGAAGTCAAGTTACCTAGAGAGTCTGTATCAATGAATAGCTGAAAAGAAACGGGTTGATACTAATAGGATAAACATTACTTAGAAGAATAGGGAATTGTGGAGAGCCATGATCGCTCATATTCTAAAGGACACGACAGATAGATAATTACGACGATGTTGACATTAAGAATAATTTACATTCGATGTAACCCATGATTCCTTTAATGAGTTTAATGTAGTTGGTTATGTTTAATTAAGCTTAAATCTGTTTTCACGATTCATGCAAGTTAAAAATAATAAATGCAATCTGATGAGGCTAAAAACACAGCTAATACTAATAAACAGAAAAGAGAACACGTAATTTGAACCGTATTTATGTTTTTAGCAAATGAAAACTATAGCAAAATAGAAGACTCAGCTAAGGGCAAAATGACAGGTAATCGAGTAAATTCTCTTTTATTTCACTTTCTTTTTCCTCTCCTCTCTTTCTTTCTCAAGCACGCACACAATGTCTACTTGGGAAAAAGCTACAGAAAGAGTAACATGCGCTGAATTCTTACGTAAACGCAATCTGCGTAGATATACTTTCATATGAATATATATGCACACAAATTAATAAATCTGAATACAAATACGCATGCGCATACACACCCATCCCTACAGACACACTATGGGGTTTATTTTACGGCTTTCGCCGCCAGCTATGAGTTGTCGTTCAGAAACCATTTTCCTCTGCATATCTTTTTGCTCTTTAGCTACAGAATTGTGTTTACAGATATTTTTTTTTCCTTTTTGCTACTGATTCCTTGAGAAACAATTTTCACTTGTAGAAATTGAATTTTGATGGTTGCAACACGGAAATTGTCACTAGGCGTTGGTTGTGGCATGAAATAGCGGAATGAATCGTGCACTTCTCATTGATTATGAAGTAAGCAAAGAAAGGAAGAATAAGCGAGGGGTGAAAGAAAGGAAATAAAGATGAAAATAAACAATGAGGAAGGGAATAAATATGTAAGCAAACGTAAAGCGAGGTATAAAGAGACTAAAATAAAGTGGTGTAAGTGTGAATATATAGAAATAATCACTGAAATTGAATTATTGTACTAAAACTAAAAAAGGAATGAAAAAATGTGTCGAAAATACGAATAGAAGGAAAGGAATTGAAAAGGAAGATAAAAGGAAAAGTTACTATCAATAATAAAGAAAATTCATAAAGAAACAAAAGAAATTTTAACTTTTTATCATTAGTTTATTTTTTCTATTATAGTTGAAAATATAATTTTTATATTCTATCACAGTTAAGAGCCAATAAAGAATAAGTTTCCGACGAGATTACTGCTTGTATACCTTTATACGTCTGTATTACAAAGTACCTTAATAATTCCGTATGATCATTGAAGTTAAGCAACGTCGAGCCTGGTCAGTACGTTGATTAGTGATCGCTTGGGAATACCAGGTGCTGTAATCATCGATGCGCTGGTGGATAATGACATGGAATTGTTAATCAGAGGGTCAGGTCCCAATTTCATTTGGGTCCGTTATATTCACTTACGAGCAAATATCCTTGGCAAAAGTATGAATCCACCACTTCTCCACAAGTTATGGGTTATTTAGTAAGACTTGTAACACCTAACCATTATTTTAAGAAAAATTCTTACATTCTAAAAAATATTTTCTGCCTTTAAATAACCTGAAACAGATTGATAAACTATAGAAATCGAATCAATCAATTATTACGGTAAAAAAACACTAGCATAATTAATACTGATTAAGTCACATTTTGTTCTGGGACTTTGTTACATGTGCCATGAATAGTAGTGTTAGAACGGGATCCCCCTTGCTAGATGTCATCACTGCTATAACTAATGCAACCTGGCCTACGTATCCCTATTTGTCGGCCCTGTATAATCAAGTTCCAGTTGTCTTCTCCGCCGCTATTCGGGTACGATTAACCGACAGCAAACCATTTAATTTTACATTTCAAAATGGATTATTAGCTCCTCAAGAAACTCCAGAACATGCAGCAAGAATATTTGAATGCCCCCTACCCATCCATTGTATAGTTTGGCATTATGAAATGTTATCTAAATCCAGAATAGCTTATGGCGTGAATCGATTACAATATAAAACTCCGTTCAGTAGAAGAATGCTGAATTGACTTTATTAGAACAATAACGCTGAATCTATAATAGATGCCACGACTTGATGCAAGCCATTCTCCTCTCTTCGGAGGCTCATTTCAAAATTGATCTACAATAAAATCACAAAAAATTTCCACCCATAAATAGTCTAAATACAGACCAAGGACAATATTCCAAACATCATTTAGAAAAGATTCCACCTACCGAAAAAAAAAAAAATCGCCTACTGCGTCTTGTAATTTGACGCATTTAGGGGTTTATGGAGATATGCGAACTGTTTACAAAAATTATCTTTAATAACAAAACTGGAATGCATTTCGAGAAAACATACTGATATTCACTTGCAATAAAATAGATATTTTGCAAAAGGCAAATTATCAGATAAGCCCCTAAATTCTCTATAAAAAATAGATAACCTTTGGGTCTCATTTTTAACAGTATTATTCCAATATTTTAATTCTGGATTATAAAAGGAAACAAAACGATAGCTACTGTTAAACCATTACTTTCCGTTGTAAGTAATATCAGTGTTTCGGAAATATTTAATAAGGACTTTTCTTCTTTATCCGGCTTATAAAAATTTAATGAATTTGAATCTAAAAGTCTTTATTCATGAATTTATCCATGGCAGTGCATTAGACATTATCTCACGTTTTGTATGTTTTTTTTTTCTTTGTAGGATCATTCATTTTAAGTGCAATGTGCTGATCGTTTCAGTGCTGTTCTTCACTCTTTACTGGCAATGGCAAAATTTGATATCTGATAGTAAGAAAAACGTAAACGATAGCAGGAACGGTATCTTTTGAAGAGAAGAGATATTTTGGCCTGTGTTAATGAGTGCGTTACGATAGTCAAGGAAGCTATAGACAACATGATAGATCATTGCTTTGTGTATTACTGCTGATAGGCTCTTGGTTTTTGTCTGTGGTGGTATTCATTGGAAATAACCAGAGTCTTCCACATTAGGGCCAAGTATGCTCACTACTTCTCCATACTACTGTGGAGCGACAAAATCCGTATTTGATGATGGAATGTGGAGAAAATGGTGATAGTCGCAAAGGTTCGTTCATTTACGAGCGCATCATTTTTACCTCCAATTGTGAGGATACCAGGAAGATCTTTATTTTTTTGTTTTTTGGGGTTTTTTTAAGCAAAGGGACAGTGAATGGTCATATTATGTTGCGATTGTCCCCTTCGCAGTAAACTTTTCTCCAACTGAATGCTGCGGACAGGGGACTAGACTGCCATTTCAAGAAACTTTTGCCGGTAGATTCCCGTTAACTTCCAATAATTTGAAAATGGACACAAGTACATAATTCCTGTTGGCAATACGATCAAAATTGAAGTTTTTGACTGGAAACGTTATTAGAAACACATAATAGTAGCTTTTATGAAAAGGGTAGCAAAATTCTCCACCAACATTAGTTTCCAACCCATATATTTAAACACCGTTCCGACACTCGATCATATAGTCACTTTTTTCTATATTTTCTGTCGTGTAAAGGTTCTATTTTCAAAATGGTAATATTTTGTTGGTAGTAGTAAGCCTTATTGAAAATGCTCGTGGCTTTTGACTATTTGATGAAGCTTTGAAGTTAATCCAGTTCCGATTTTTGTGTTCTTTAGATGACTTGGTAATCAATTGTCAGACAATTTTTAAAAGATTTCCTTTTCGAATGTCTGGCAAAACCTACAATCACAAGATTGAATGATATTTTGGACTCTTTACATTACTTCCATCATATGATTATTGAAATGGATCGAATCCTTTCTTTGGGAAGTTAAATTTAATTTCTTATTTGGCTATTGCGTCCTGTTGGAAATAGTTTGTTTCCTCCGACATACAGAAAGGAAATAAAATGTATCCTTTGTAAGTAGTAGCCAATATACAGTAGGAAACATCTGTGTTAGTCCTTCTGTGGCATACTTTTTTTTTTCAAAATCCACTTCATATATGTTTATTTTGGTCCAATAAGCCAAAACAATGCAAGTTAAATTCGAAAGCATGTTAGATACCCTCCCCTCTTATATTGATCACAGTTCCATTTATGAGCTTTAAAAAACTTTGTTTTTTTTTATTCTTATTTATTTATTACCATTTTAGATTTAGTCTTTTTTCCTTTTATTTATTTTATTTTTATTTCATTTTAGATTTAATCCTTTTTCGCCAGGATTATATATATATATATATATATATATATATATATATATATGTGTGTGTGTGTGTGTGTGTGTGTGTGTGTGTATACATATATATATATATATATATATATATATATATATATATATATATATATATATATATATATACATATATATACATATATATATATACATATATATATACACACATACATATGTATATATATGTGTGTGCTCTCTGTTTGTGTGTCTCTCTCTCTCTCTCTCTCTGTGTGTGTGTGTGTGTGTGTGTGTAGATGCATGTATGTATGTATGTAAAACCCTGCAGGCCTTGGTCTAAGAAACGCAGATGAAACTGCAATATTTCTGTTCAAATACAATGTATATATTTAAAAAAGAAAAATAATTTTAGCTGAACAATGAATAAAATTAATGTGAAAGTTGTTCATTTTAACCCAAGGTATGAAACCTTTCCAGGATCCTCTCAGAATATACTTTCCGGGTTTCGCAATATTCCACGTTTGAATGGAAAAGAGACACAAAGTGCTGTCACTCATTCAACAGGTTTTAACATTGATATTTAAAATACCGTTTAAAAAAAAACAATCAGAGAATTGAATAATGCTGGCCAGAAAGAATAATGGAGTAAATATCGAATATGAGAGAAAAATTATTGGTGAATGAGGAAAGTACAATGGAGAATGGAATATGAAAATTTATCAAATTACATAAATGAACAAAAGATATTGAATAATATTTAACATGCATAATGATGAAAAGTAAAATAATAAATTAAATTTTATTAAAATATGGAAATATTCTTTTATTTCGAATAAGCATAAAGAAATGGGATTTATCGAAAACAAATAATGAAATAACAAGAAATTTTTTATGACGAAGTAAAATGGAAGAAGGAATTGATAAAAAAGAAAAAAAAAATTGAAGGAAAACAAAAAAAAAAGAAAGGATGAAAAATTGCTTTTTAATGTTAAAATGTAAATAAATAAATAAAAATATAAGTGAACCCATTGAATAAAATAGAAGGAAAAATATCTGCAGTATAACTAGAACCAATCGAAAAGAAAAAAAAAATGATATAAAAAATAACCAAAATATAAATGGAATTAAAAGCAAAAGATATTTGACTTTAAAGTCAATATGAAAGGAACAACTTCCTTGTTCCTGTGTTGCAAATATCATAGCAACTCTCAAGAAATACACATACTGTCTCTATTTGTTATTCCTCTTTCAAATTATATCATCACATTCTTAAATAATTTATTTTTTCGTAACCGAAGAATATTGTTTTTCAAACATTTATTCCGTTTATTATTTTACCTCTTCAATTCAGCATCAAAATAAATGTTTTTCTTTATTAATATTTTCATTATTATTATTATTATTATTATTATTATTATTATTATTATTATTATTATTATCCATTTATTTATTTATCTTCTTTTGCTTGCAATATCTTTCATTTTGTCGCTGCAACAAAATCTCATTGGACTGCATCACAGTACGAATAAAAAGAAACGAGTTCTTTTTGTAACTGTCCTTACATCAATGACGCCTCGGAAACCTCCCCCGAGCGTGTCCTATACGGCCTGAAACATTTGAAAAAAAAAGCATGACGCTCCATAACTTCGATGAATTACAAGTGACACGAAAGTTACAAGTGTAACATTGATAATAAATACTCTTGTCAAGCAATTTCTTTAGGGACAGAGTCAGAAAGGAAGCAGGAGGAAAAGGGGCAAAATAAAAAAAAAAATATCTTCTTTATTTTTCCTTATCTTTCACAAAAGCAAAATAACATCCGAGAAAAAAAATCTTGGAAACGAAATGACAGAAACATATTTAAAGTTTATTGAAAACAAAATATAAACTCGGAGCGTGGAAATAGAAATAAAATATCGAGATGGTGATAAAAAAAATGTATGTTACATTTGCTAACGTTATTCGCTGTAAGCACTTTAAATTCGATAATGTCATCATGTTTTAAGTCAACGTTGGTAATAAATCCATCATATACACTCAAGGTACGGCTCTTCTTAAGAACTGAGAGGGTTATTTATTGACATTGAAGCTAGTGGTCAATGTTCAAGTCCATGGAAAATGCACAATATCCTATGCATGGACTCAGACTTGCACGTTGTTGAAGGTTTGACTCAATATGACAT